GGGAAATCATATCTGTCAGAGAAGCTCTGTAGGCAGCAGTGTCCCAGGTTTTTGTTGGAACCTGCTCATGTGGGCACCCTCAACCTACCACTTGCCAAGATCCCAGACTCTTAGAAGGAAAGCAGGGGTTTAGCATAAACCACCTTGTTTATAGAAACAGTTTTGGCATGATGAGCTACTCTTACCTGTTAGGGATTGGTAAGAACCCTCCCCAAAACCAAATTCCCAGATGGTAGTCAAAGGCCAAACTTGAAAGCAGGCCTCTCAAAGAATAGCAGCCCCAGATCTGTTGTTAGCTCCCTTCTGCACAGCATTGTACAGCATTGTACAGTTGGTAGTGGTTTTGTTTTGTTTTACCTAGTCTTGCTGTCTCTGCTTTTTTTTTTTTTTTTTTAAAGAGAGAGAGACAGAGGCAGAGACACAGGCAGAGGGAGAAGCAGGCTCCCTGCAAGGAGCCCATTGGAGGACTGGATCCTGGATCCCAGGATCATGCCCTGAGCTGAAGGCAGATGCTCAACTGCTGAGCCACCCAGGCATTCCTAAAAAAAGGTTTAACTACTTGTCTCCTTCCAAGTTTTGTGCTCTTGTTGTCCTACATTTACTTCAACACGTTATAAACTCCAAGCCACATCATTGTTATTTTTGTTTAACGCATCAGTTATCTTTTAAAGAGATTTGAATAATAGGTAAAAACATATATTTTCTTATATAGTTAACCATTTTTGGTATTCTTTATTCCTTCATGTAGATCCATATTTCCATCTAGTATCATTCTTTCTGCATTGGAAAACTTCCTTAAATGTTTCTTAGAATGACTGGTGATGAATTCTTTCAGCTTTTGTAGTCTAAAAGGTATTTATTTTGCTATTGTTTTTGAAAGAATTTTCACTGGATATAGGATTTTAGGTTGATAGTTTCTTCTTTTACTACTTGAAGGATATTCCTCTACTGTCTTCTCATTTGCTTTTTCTCCTACTGGAATTCTCTTTTCTTTATCTCGGTTCTTCTTTACATAAGTGTCTTTCTTCCAGGTGTTTTTAAGATTTTCTTCTACATCCCTGGTTTTGAGCATTCTGATTATGATATGCCTTGGTGTATTTTTCTTTGTTTCTGTGCTTACAGTTCATTTAAGCTTTTTTGGATCCGTGAATTTGTAGTTTTCATCAAATTTGAAAAAATTTCAGCCATTTTTTTCTTCAAATGTTTTTCCTTTCCCTGCTCCCTTCTTGGGGGACTGCAATGATGTGTATGTTAGGCTGCTTGAAATTGTTCTACAGCTCATTGATGCCGTTTGTTTTTTTTCTCTGTATTATCTTTTTTATGTTTCTGTTGATATATGTTCAAGTTTAATGATCTCTTATTCTGCAGTGTCTAATCTACCATTAATCTTATCTATTAGATTTCTCATCTCAAACATTGCAGTTTTCGTCCCTAGAAGTTTGATTTGGGTCTTTGTTGTATCTTCCATCCAAGTTCTTCCTGACTTCCGTCCAAAGTTTCCACTTAACTTTTTAACATGTAGAATACAGTTTTAATAACTGTATTTTAATAACTCATTTAATGTCCTTGTGTGATAATTATAACATTTGTATCAGTTCTAAATTGGTTTGATTGATGGAGTTCTTCATTATGAATTGTATCTTTATGCTTTTTTGCAAGCTTGGCAAATTTTGGTTAGTTGCCATATACTGTGAATTATACCTTGGCTCTTGTTTTTTTTTTTTTTTTTTTTTTTTTTTTTATTCCTGTAAATATTCTTGAGCTTTTTCCCAAGTTGCAGTTACTTGAAAATGGTTTGATTCTTTCAGTTCTTTTTTTTTTCTATTAGTTTCAGAGGTAGAATTTAATGATTCATCAGTTGTATATAAATGTATATAAATGTTCATCATTTCCAACACTCATTTACATAGTTTCACCTTTTCTAGAATGTCATATAGTTAGAATCATGTATGTATATATATATATATATATATATAACCTTTCAGTTTAGCTTCTTTCACTTAGTAATATGCACTGAAGTGTTCTCCATGTATTTTCATGGCTTGATAGCTTGTATCTTTTTTTGTGCTGATTATATTCTGTTCATCTGTCTGGATGTAACACAGTTTATCAATTCACTTACCTCCTGAAGGATATCTTGGTTGCTTCCAAGTTTTGGTAGTTAAGAATATGCGCTGCTGTAAACATCTATATGCAGATTTTTGGTAGACCTTCTACCATTTTTAAAATATAGTAAAAAATGGGGAGGTTGGATAAAATTTCAGGTCATTTCTAGTTTTTAAAAAGTAAAGTTTAAAAAAAATAAAAAAATAAAAAGTAAAGTTTTAAGAGATGTCCGTATTGAAGGAAATATTAGCATTAGATTTGTTAAGTTGGACATACAAAAACTAGAAATATAGAATCTCATCTCTGAAAATGAGATGAGATTCTTTTATTCTAGGGGATTCTTGGCTCTAGAATTATAGATTACTATTCTTTTAAAGTCAGTAATCTTCATATATTTAATGAATTCATAGAAATTACATTAGGAATTAATTTAAAAAATTTTGGCCATTACATACTTCTAAACAATAAGGGCTCTAGAGCCAAATGGACTGTATTCACAGGTAGTTTGTACCACTTACTAAAACATTGAACAAGGTAAGCCTTTGTTTCCTTAGCTAAAGCATGGGAGTATAAATAGTGCCTCACTCTTAGGATTGGGGAGAAAATTCAGTGAGGATGTATGTAAACTACATGGCCTAGCTCATAGCATATGATCAGGAAATGACAGCCATGTGTCAGCTCTCACATGTGGTCTGTGCACTCATAATATTTTCAGCTCTTTTGAAGATTAGTACATTACATTCTTAATGACACAGTTTGAAACACTTAGTGAATTAGGAAAAAATAAGACTTTTTTTATTCCATGTGTAAAAAATGGCTTCTGTTGTGATTAAGTGTTGTGATGGTTGTCACAGAAAGTCCTGAAAGTGATGGTGATGTAAGAGGTTACCTGCATGGAGTGGAAGTAGTTAAAAAATGTTGTTTGTGCTGTATTCTCACACTGTGCTGTCTCCTGCAGAAATTGTACGTGCTCCCAGGGCTTTACTGGCCAAATACATCTCATTCCTTCACCTGCCTGCTTAACGCATGCATTTGAATGTGTCATGGGCACTTAAAGCTCAGTAGGCCCTCAGCTGAATTCACTATCTTTCCTTTCAAACCATCATTTCTTCTGGTGGTGGTCACCATCTCAGTATACGGCATAGTCATACATCTCCTTGTTCATATTGCCTTCTGTTGTCAGCATTAGCTCTCACGTGGCTAACTACTCCAGCTCTTCACATCTCCCCTTGCTTTTCTTCTGGTTCCTTGTATACAGGGTAGCCTTAGTGATCCTGGTGTCACTTCTACCTGCAAAAATATTCTGTGGTTTCACTTTGCTTTTAGGATAAGTTCTTAAAATCTTAGCATGGCCTTCATGGCGGTGTGCATTGAGGCCCCTGCTGATATCTTTATTCTCTGTTTCCATCCACCTTCATTTTCCATCTGTTTCTTCCATTCTGATCTCATTTCAAGTCCTCAAAACCTCTCTTCTCTTTCTTGCTTCTTGCTGTCCCCTCTGTTGCTATGTAACTCTTACTCATATTTCAGATTTTATCTTAAACCTTACCTTTCCTGACCTCCCTCCACTTTCCTCTTATATTATTTCTTCTGCCTGGACTACATCCCTTTACTCTCAGCTAGAACTCCATTTCTCATTTCCAACATTCATCTTGCTTATAAGTATTTGATCAGTATCGGGGCGCCTGGGTGGCTCAGTGGTTGAGTGTCTGCCTTCGGCTCAGGCCATGATCCCAGGGTCCCAGGATTGAGTCCCACATCAGGCTCCCTGTGAGGAGCCTGCCTATGTCTCTCCCTCTCTCTGTGTGTCTCTCATGAATAAATAAATAAAATCTTAAAAAAAAAGTATTTGATCAGTATCTCCTCTTCAAGGTTATGCATACCAGAAGATTAAGGATTATGTTGGTCTTATTTGTCACTCTGTCCCCAGTGCCTAGCATAATGCCATGCTCAAGTGTGTGCTACGTAGTTGTTGAATGAATTTAGGTATTTGGAAAGTTTAAGTTGTATCTACAATTACCAGTAATAATTGTCACATTTTCAAACTCCTCCATTTCTTACAACTTTTACCTAAAAAATACATATTTTTAGGGATGCCTGGGTGGCTCAGTGGTTGAGTGTCTACCTTTGGAGCTCTGAGTGCCGGGATCGAGTCCCACTTTGGGCTCCCTGCATGGAGCCCACTTCTCCCTCTGCCTATGTCTCTGCCTCTCTCTCTCTGTGTCTCTCATGAATAAATAAATAAAATCTTTAAAAAAATACATATTTTTAAAAGGAACTTATTTCAGGATTAAGAAAAAACCCTGCCGTTTACTTGTACATGACTAGGCATCATGCTGATCAAGTGGGGTAAATTGTTTTATTTGTTCTTACTGTTTATGTCAGGTAGTTATTCTTGTCCTCATTTTACCACTGAGGAGACAATCTCTGGGTCGATTCTTGTCTAAGCTCAGGTGACTGAAAAGTAGCAGATGTGTGGATTCACACTGAGGTCTTTCCGTTCTAGAACCTGTATTATTTCCTTGCTGTGATTTGTTTTTTCCTTGCTGCAGTTATACTACCTTCTCTAATTTAATGTCCACATTCAGTAATTAACATATGCATTACAGTCAATTTCTTATAATTAGCCATAGTGTAAAATTTTGCATTTAGGCCTTGCGGGATGCTTTTAATTAATGGTCAATATCTCATTGACTCTAGAACTATAACAGCGCTTGGCTCATATGGCAAAGAGTATGTATTGTCATTGTCGATAATAAAAGTGAAATTTGTACTTGAATAAGTTTTAAATCGAGGGAAGAAATCACATCACAGTGTCTCAAAGGAATAACTTTTAAGAACTATTGTTCTGTAGCATTAGACTCTAAAAAGTAACTGATTCTCTTAATTTTCAGGGACTATTTTTGCATACGGACAAACTGGAACAGGCAAAACTTTTACCATGGAAGGTGTTCGAGCAGTTCCTGAACTTAGAGGAATTATTCCAAATTCATTTGCTCACATATTTGGTCACATTGCTAAAGCAGAGGGTGATACAAGGTAAAAAAGAATTATTTTCTAATAGATTGAGAAGTACAAGCACAAAGAAGGCATATATGTATAAAACTTGTAAATACATTTGAAAATAGCTCTCATAAATATTTCTCTGCTTTTTAAAATGATGTTTTATTTATAGATTTTTGGTTCGAGTGTCATATTTGGAAATATATAATGAGGAAGTCCGTGACCTTTTGGGCAAGGATCAGACACAGAGGTTAGAGGTAAGGATAACTGAAATTGAAGTATTTTCTAAAGTAGTAGACTGTTACTATATTAAGATTCTTTTTCTACAAAAGTTATTTTTAATATTTTACTTATCTTTTGACCTTGTGTAGTATATGATCATGATTCAAAATATAAAATATTATGAAAATTAATGCATTGAAAAGTTGTTCCTAATCCTGTGCCCCACTTCTCCCCACCCTAAGATAACCATTTTCAGTATCCCTCACTGTTCCTCTATGTATATATTAACAAATATAATTTTACTTCTACTCCATAAGTAGGTATACAATGATCTGCACTTTTTTTTTAATTAAAATTCTTATCCAGGTAAGTGTAGAGTCACATGTGACAGTATGAAAGAATATGGAGAGATTACCCTTTACATAGATGTACCTTTTACGTAGCTTTGCCCAGTGGTTAACACTTTACAGAGCTGTAGTAGAGTATCATGATCATGATACTGTTGTTGATACAATCTACAGATTTTACTCACAGTGCCCTGGTTTTTCTTTTACTCTTTGTGTTTAGGTTGATATATCCGCAACTACATTAAGGTACTAAACAGTTGAATCACAGAGATGCCTCCTATTGCCCTTTTATGACCATATCCACCTCTCTCCTGACTACATTCCTCTGTAGCCATCCCTAACTACTGACAATCACTAATTTGCTTTCCAATTCTCAAATTTTGTTTTATTTGTTCTCAAAAATGTTATGTAACTAGAACTATACAGTATGTAACTTTTGGGATTGGCCTTTTTTCATTTGGCATAACCCTCCTGAGATTTATCCAAGTTGTTGCATGTATTGAGAGTTCATTACTTTTTATTGCTGAGTGGCATTGCATGGTGTATACGTGTAAAGTTTAACCATTCACCTGTTGAAGGACATCTAGGCAGTTTATAGTTTTTGGCTATTATGAACAAAGCATCTATGAACATTTGCACACAGATTTTTTTATGTGAATGCATGTTTTCATTTCCTGGTTTGAAGGCCAAGAATACTCCAGAATTTATTTTAAGTCAGAAATTTTTAAGGTGTTAAAGATACTAAGACCACTCATGAATGTAGTAAAAAACACTAGCAGTTTTCAATCTTTCTTTTACCTAAAGGAAAAACTAAAATTTTTGATTGAGAAATTTTAGTTTGTACACTTTGGGGTAATAGATTGGCAGGAAAGACTACTTTTATCCTGCATGTCAGAAAAGGGAAATGTGAAATTACATGCGTAATAAATATTAGAGAATTACAAAATTACAAAATACATTATGTTTACTTACAAACTTAGCTGATTTATATTGTTTTTTAAAATAGAGATGTAATCCACAGAGGCTAATAATATTCACCCTTTTACAGTATACAATTTAGCAGCTCTTAATATATTCACAAAATGATACAGCCATCATTATCTAATTCTGGAACATTGTCCTTACCCCCAGAAGAGGTCCTATGTCCATTAGGAGTCACTCCCCATTCCTGCTTCTCCCCACCTCCTGGTAATCAGAACTTAATTTCTGTCCCGATGGATTTGGCTATTCTAGATATTTCACATAAATGGAATCATATAAAATGTGATCTTCTGTGTCTTGTTCCATTTAATACAATGTTCTCAAGATTCATTGATGGACTTCATTTCTTTATTTAAGAAATAACTTTATTGGGACACCTGGGTGACTCAGAGGTTGAGTGTCTGCATTTGGCTCAGGGCGTGTTCCTGGAGTTCTGGGATCAAGTCCAACATTGGGCTCCTGCAGGGAGCCTGCTTCTCCCCTCTGCCTGTGCCTCTCCCTCTCTCTCTCTGTGTGTCTCATGAATAAATAAATCTTTAAAAAAATAAAAAATAAAAACAGTTTTATTGAAATATTCACATTCCATACAATTTACTCACTTAAAATGTACTATTCAGTGGTTTTTGATATATTCATAGAATTGTACATCTATCACCATAATCAAATTTGGAACATTTTTCTTACCCTAGAAAAAAACACGGTGCTCCTTGGATATCGCTCCCAACCCAGTCCCAGGGAACTACTAGCTTACTTTTTGTCTCTATAGATTTGCCTATTTTGGATACATAATATAAAGGAATAATATGTGGTCTTTGATGACTAGCTTCTTTCATTTAGAATAATTTTTCATGGCTCATCCATGTTGTAGCATGTGTTAGTACTTAATTTTTTTTTGTTATTGCTGAATAGCAGTCCATTGTGTGGACATAATGCATTTTATTGATTCCATCAGTTGAACATTTGGATAGTTTCATCTTTTTTTTTTTTTTGTCTGTTAAGAATAAGACTGTTATGGACTTAGACTTTTACAAGTTTTTGTGTGAATATGTTTTTGGTTCTAGTGAGTACACCCTACTGAATGTAATTGCTGGATAACTGTATACTTAAGCATCTGAGGAACTGCCAGACTGTTTTCCATAGCAGTTATACCATTTTATATTCTTGTTGCTAGTGAATGAGGTTTCTAGTTTCTCCACATACTTGTCAGTGCTTGTTACTCTTCCTCTTCTAGTTAGCCATTTTAGTGGGTGTCAAGTGGTATTTGTGGGTTTGATTTCAATTTCTGTGGTGGCTAATGATGTTGAACATCTTTTCCCATGCTTGTTAGCCATTTGAATACCTTCTTTAGAGAAATGTCTGTTCAGATCCATTGCCTGTTTTTAATTGGGTTGTCTTTTTGTTACTGAGTTGTTAATACTTCTTTTATATTCTAGATGGAAGTCCCTTAGCAAGTATATGATTTACACACTTTTTTCTGCATTTACGGATTGTCTTTTTCACTTTTTTGATTGTTTTCTTTGAAACACAAAATGTTTAAATTTTGATCATGTCCGATTTATCTGTATTTAGTTTTGTTGCTTGTGCGCTTGGTGTTGTATCTAAGAAACCATTGTTTCATCCAAGGTCATGAAGATTTATGCTTTTGTTTTATTCTAAGAGTTTTATACTTGTAGCTTTTACATTTAGATCTTTGATCCATTCTGAGTTTTTCTTTTTTCTTTTTTTTTCTTAATGTGGTTGAGGTAGAGGACCAATTTCATTATTGCTCATGTGGATATTCAGTTGTCACAGCACCATTTTGAAAAGACTGTTTTTTTTCCCCCAATTCGTGTTGCTTTTTTGACTGAATGTGGATTGTGGCAATCTTTGCATATCAGTACAGAGAGAAAGCCTCCTCATTCTTGTTTTTTCTATTGTCCTTTTATTTATTCTTTTTAAAAGATTCTATTTATTTCAGAGAGCAAGCATGGAGGTGCATGCATGACAGCAAGCATGAGTGGGGAGAGGGACAGAGAAAGAAGCAGACTCCCTGCCAAGCAGGGGGCCTCATGTGGGCTTGACCCCAGAACCCTGAGATCATGACCTGAGCCCATGGCAGATGCTTAAAGGACTGAGTCACCCAGGTGCCCCTCTGTTTGCCTTTTGAAAATGATGTCCATATACTATCCATTGTATGGATGTAATTAAAATGCATTTGGCCAGTCCTCTCTTGATGAACACTTGGGGTGTTTCTGATCTTTCGTTTTTACAGACAATTCTGTAGTAAGTAGTGTTGTATGTATGTGATTTCATACATGTGCAGGCATATCTGAGTTTAAGTTCCTGAAGCTAGATTGCTGGGTCAGGTGATAAAGAATTGGTAAATATTGCCAAATATTTTAAGATATGAGACAGACAAAAAGAGCATTTAAAATATTAATACTGGAATTTTGTTTAGAATTCCATTGTAAGTAAAATAATTAAAGAATAATGTGCATATGGTAGTTGAATAGAATATAGAATAGCAGTAACCGTCATCATAGAGTGGTGTAGAATACATGTAGAATAACAGTGACTACTATTACTAAGCTCTTACAATGCAGGAGTAGGCATTCAGTACAGTAAATTGTGATAGTAGTACATAGTTAATTTCATTTACTCTTCCTAGCAGTTCAGTTTTGTTGATGTGAAAACCAAAGCACAGAGAGGTTTCTGACTTGCTCACAGTCATATAACAGATTCACCTAGAATTACAGGGGTGTTTTTGGAGTCTTACCATTCTGGCTGTGATATATTGAGCAAGTTACCTAACCTATATGAGCCTTAGTTTTGCCACATGCAAATGGAACTGATAACAGTATCTACTTCGTAGGATTATTGCCAACATTAACAAATTAATACAAAGTGTTTAAATCAAGGCTTGATACATAAAAAAGTATTAAATAAATGTTAGCCTTCCCTCCCCCCTTGCCCCAGAGGAAAGAAAAAAGGGGAGAGGGTGAGAGAGGGAAAGAGAATCTCAAGCATGCTCCATGCCCAGGGCAGAGCCCAACACGGGGCTCAATCTCAAGACCCCTGAGATCATGACCTGAGCCAAAATCAAGAGTCGAATGCTTAACTGACTGAGGTATCCAGGTTCCCCTAGCCTTTTTCTTTTTAAGTTTACTATATAAACTGGGCTTTTGGAACATAGTATTACAGGCTTAGGTATTGTTTGTTGGACCTTAAGGTTTATTCTGTAATGATGATGCATACATAGGAAATATCATGTTTCTTTTTTGCTAGTTGTCATCTTTGACGTCATTTTTTTTTTAAATTTTTATTTATTTATGATAGTCACACAGAGAGAGAGAGGCAGAGACATAGGCAGAGGGAGAAGCAGGCTCCATGCACCGGGAGCCCGACGTGGGATTTGATCCCGGGTCTCCAGGATCGCGCCCTGGGCCAAAGGCAGGCGCCAAACCGCTGCGCCACCCAGGGATCCCCTTTGACGTCATTTTTGATGGATACCTTTTAAGTTTCTCATTGCAGAAATTATTAGAATAAAAATCATTTATTTTTATTATTATTATTTTTTTAGAATAAAAATCATTTAGAAAGAACATTTTCCCTTGTACCAGTAATTACAGATTAGATTTATTCTCAGGAACATTTTTGTCAGTGATTCTCAACTCTATTAAACCCAGTGCCCCTTTTTTATAACATATTTTGTAATGTCCCTTTGACTA